CCGAGACCCTGAGGGCGGGAGTGGGGGTGCTGCCACTGCGGGTGGCGAGCCGCAGGGAAAGTGAGAGCCGCATCGCTCCAGTGAGCCGGACGCTGTGCCGATGACGCCCAACACGGCACGGTCTCTGACTCACCGTCACCGGCGGGCAGCTGCTGGGCGCCCCCTCTGGCCGCGCTGGGTCACCGGCAGGTCCCCTCACCGCCGCCGGGGCCTGGGCTCCTGCTGGGCAGCTGCGGGAGGCGGGAGGGGTGGCAGCAGGTGGATGAGCCCAGTGACGCTGAGGCACAGGACCCACCCGAGGGGCACCCTCTCTGGCTTCCTGGAGAACGCCGTGGCACGCAGCACCTGCAGCGCCTTGGACCCGGCGACAAGGTGGGCATCTCCGTCCCCGAGGAGCTGCAGGCATGCCCGGCCCTGGCCCGGCACCCATCATAGTGCAAGCCTTCCCCGGGCCCTGGCACCCAAGGCGGGCACCTCCTCACACGCAGCGTCCGGAAGATGGGGCGGGCGGGTGTCGGGAAAAGGGGTGCCCCTGGCCCTTCCCCTAAAGCTTAGCACCCGGAGGAACAAGTACACCCGCACCTTGTCTGCTTCCCACCCTTGGCCATGTTGGTGAGAACCGACGCAAATCGCTGACTACTTGGGCTCTGTTTTAGTAGCACAGACAAAACTAAGCCTGAGAGGATTAAAAGTTAAGTAGTTCCACCATTTGGAGTTTACCCTAAGGACATGATTGGACAAGTAAACAAGGAGGCCTGCTTGTGGCTGTTTATCAAAGTCCTGTTCTTGAGAGGGGAGAGTTATCAGCAAGGGGAATGCCATTAATAAGGAGAAATTGACATGTCATTGTACCAAACAAGCAAGTATTATGCAGCCACTAAAAGTGATGGCATACAATCTAGGCACAAGGAAGCTGTGATACAAAAAGGAGAAAATCTTATAATAATAAAAGCATAATATGCTAATTAGACTGAACGTCCCTCCAGATGTCCCTCTGGACAGCCTTCCGGTGAAGCCTGGGCTGCGAGGGAGGCCGGGTCTGGGTGCCAGGCGAGAGCGGTGCGGGCAGCGAGCGGGTAAGGAAGGCGTGTTCACCACAGATTCAGTGCATTGGGCCTCTGGTAAAGCTGTAAAGAAGAATGTGTGACATAATCCCGGTTTTGCAAAATGCTTCCAAGGACATTCACAAAAAACCCCACAGTACTTCATTTTTGAGTCATTTTATGGGTCATTTTATTCCATTTTACACCCTTGCTCATTTTCTAAACTTCTTATACTGAACATGGCTTGGTTTTATAACTAGCTTGTTTACAAGTCAGCTCTTTAAAAGGCCATGATTTTCTTTTCTAATGTGACTTAAGGATTAAATGATAGGAAAACAGGTGAAGTAGTTTCTATGTAAATCGCTTTTCCTTCTGGTTTGTTTGTTTGTGGTTTTCTCATCCTTGTTACTGCCACCTAGTGGCTGACAATCCATTTACTCTCTCACTGTTTCAGATTATATCCCCCAAAGGTAGAACCCCAGAGATACACTGGTAAATATTTAACAGCTGGCTCTGCACAAATTATATGTTTACACATTTCCGGTAAGTTTTGCTTATATAAAGGATGCACACAGTTTATGTAAAGGCAGGAAGCACTCTGCTTGGGTTACATATGCCGAATGTGTTACCACGAGCGCTCTCATCGACTGCTGCTGAGCCATGTATCTGCAGCAGCCTGTGGCTGAAGCCGAACTCTGATTGGACACATGGAATTTTATCCCATTTCATGGACTCTCTTTTTCAGTTTTCCTTCTTCTTCTTTTTTTTTAAAATAAATCTTTATTGTTCATATTATTACAAAAGTTCATTTTTCCCCCTCCACCAGGTTCCCACCCCACCCTCTGCCCTTTCCCCACCCCCCCCATTGTCCTCATCCATAGGTGCACAGTTTATGTTCAGTCTCTTCCTATACCCCCCTCTCCCCCTTTCCCCAAGAATCGTCAGTCCACTCCCCTTCCATATCTCTGATTCTATTATATTCACCAGTTAATATTGTTCATAAGATTTTTTTTAATTCCCTTGGTTTTTAGATTCACGTGTTGATAGTTACATATTTGTTGTTCATAGTTTTTATCTTTATTTACTTTCTCTTCTAAAAGAACCCCCTGCAGCAATTCATATAATTCTGGTTTGGTGGTGATGAACTCCTTTAGCTTTTTTTTATTAGTGAAGCTCTTTATCTGGCCTTCGATTTTGAGTGATAGCTTTGCTGGGTAGATTATTTTTGGCTGTAGGTTCTTGCTATTCATTAACTTGAATATTTCTTGCCATTCTCGTCTGGCCTGCATGGTTTCTGTTGAGAAATCAGCTGACAATTGTATGGGTGCTCCTTTATAGGTAACTACCTGCTTTGCTCTTGCTGCTTTTAATATTCTCTCTTTGTCTTTTGCTCTTGGCATTTTAATTATGATGTGTCTTGGTGTGGTCTTCTTTGGATTCCTTTTGTTTGGAGTTCTGTGCGCTTCCTGGACTTGTAAGTCTAATTCTTTCACCAGGTGGGGGAAGTTTTCTGTCACTATTTCTTTCAGTATGTTTTCGATATCTTGCTCTCTCTCATCTTCTGGGACCCCCATAATTCTGATGTTGGTTCGCTTGAAGTTATCCCAGAGGTTTCTTAAATCATCTTCAACTTTCTGGATTCTCTTGACTTCTTGCTTCTGTGGAGGAGTATCTTCTGGTTCTTTATGTTCCAAATCTTTGACTTGATTCTTGCGATCCTCCATTTTGTTTTTAGGACTCTGTATAATATTTTTTAATTCAGACAATGTATTCTTTATTTCTTGTTGATCCCTTATTAGTTCTTGTTGATCCCTTATTAGTTCTTGTTGGTCCCTTATTAGTTCTTGTTGATCCCTTTTCATCTCCTCATAGGTCTTATCAACCTTTTCTAGGAAATTCTTAAAAAACCTTATAAGCGTGGTTTTTTACTCTATATCCAGTCTCTTCTTTTCCTCCATTTCTTTTGTTTGTGATCTAATTCCTTGTCTTGGCATTTTCACAGCTTCCCTGAGTTGGTAGGGTGGCTTTGTGTGCTAAGGTGTCCTATATGGTTCAGTGAGTCAGCCTCCCAGTTACCTGAGATGGACAGTCTTGGTGTAGCCCTTTGTGAGATGGGTGGGCAGTCTTGTTGTTAAGCCTTGCTTGTTGTTGGTATCACTGGGAAGTGTTGATCTCCAAGCCAATTGGCTATGAGGATCAGAAGTGTCTCAGCTAGGAGGGTTTCTGTATTCTGCTTGGATAGGCAGAGTCTTGGGGTGGCACAGACACGCTTTGTTGAATCCCGCACAATTGGTTGTAGGCGCGAGCACCTCTTTGGTATAGGTGCAGACAAGCTTTAGATTCCTGTCTGTCCCTCCCTCGGAGAGTCCTATTGGCAGCGAACGAGGAAGCTAGCCACTGGAAGGGCCTCTATGCTCTGCTTGGATGGGGCGTAGTCTCAGGTGGTGCAGACAAGCTTTATTCAGCCCCTCCCTATGACGGCCTGGTTTCTGAGTCCCACAGTAATGGCTGCTGGCTTCACACACCTCCGAGAGATCTCTGCCCACTGCCTGACAGACTGGCCTCTGTCAGCGCAATAGGGTGGTTTTGTTTTCCTCCGGAACAAGAAAGCCAGCCACGCATAAGCTGTCCGCCCTCTCTGCGCGCAGGGAGTAAGCTGGTAGTGAACTCGGCCCGCCCTCTCCACGCTCCGCAAGCCAGCCGGCAGCGAACTCTACGGCTGCTTTTTCGCTCGCACAGTTTTCCGTACCTTCACAGTTCCTGAGGTTCAGCGCACCTTCTCTCTCCTTCCCAGATGGTAGAGCCTCCCTTCAGCCAGCTGTCCGGCGCTTCAGGGTGATGTTTCCCCGGTTTTTCAGTTCTAAATTCAAACTTGTGGTAGGCTGCATTCGGGTGTCTGCCCTATGCCGCCATCTTGGTTGTCTCCTCCTCAGTTTTCCTTCTATCTGTTATGTTTTTATTTGAATTTACTAGAGGCCCGGTGCACAAAATTTGTGCATGGTGGGATTGTCCCTCGGCCCAGCCTGCACCCTCTCCAATCTGGGACCCCTTGAGGGATGTCCGACTGTCCATTTAGGCCCACTGGGATTGGGCCTAAACGGGCAGTTGGACATGCCTCTCACAATCCAGGACTGCTGGCTCCCAGCCGCTTCCCTGGCTCTGCCTAATTGCCCTTAACCACTTCTGCCTGCCAGCCTGATCACCCCTTAACCACTCCACTGCCAGCCTGATTGAAGTCTAACTGCTCCCCAGCTGGCCAAATTGCCCCTAACTGCCCTCCCCTACAGGCCTGGTCCCCCCAATTGCCCTCCCCTGAAGGTCTGGTCACCCCCAACTGCTCTTCCCTGCCAGTGTGGTCACCCTCAACTACCCTCCCCTGCTGGCTCAGTTATCCCTAACTGCCCTCCCTTGCAGGCCTGGTCCCCCCAACTGCCCTCCCCTGAAGGTCTGCTTTTCCCTGCTGGCCATCTTGTGACCACATTAGGGCTGCAAGGGTGTGATGGTTAATTTGCATATTACCTCTTTATTATATATATAATATATATGAGGTCCAGTGCACAATTTTTGTCCCTCAGCCTGGCCTGCGCTCTTTCGCTGTCCAGGACCCCAAAGGGGTCCTTAGTGCTGCTATGGAGGCGGGAGAGGGGCCTGCCACTGCTGCTGTGCTCACCAGCCATGAGCCCGGCTTCTGGCTGAATGGAGCTCCCCTGTGCCAGCCCACTGACCACCAGGGGTTAGCTCCTATGTTGAGCATCTGCCCCCTGGGGGTGAGTGCAGGTCATAGCGACCAGTTGTTCTGTCGTTCAGTCGATTTGAATATTAGGGTTTTATTATATAGGATATTTTAAATCCATTGATTTTTCAGGGAGAGTGGAAGAGAGAGGGAAAGGCAGAGGGAAACACTGATGTGAGAGAAACACATTGATTATTGTCTCTGGCAAACTCCCCAACCAGGACAGGTGCTGGGAGGAGCCTCCAACCGAGGTCTATGCCCTTGACTGGAATCAAACCTGGACCGTTCAGTCCACAGGATGACGCTTTATCCACTGAGCTGCACTGTCCAGAGCTAGATTTGATATTTTAAAGCACATGTGTCAAACACAAGGCCCGCGGGCCAAATCCGTCCCGCCAGGCCTTGCAATGTGGCCCGCACCGCGCTGTCATCACTGCACTCCGCTGCGTTTCCATCACAATGACAGTTTATGACTGTTCAGTAAACCATTCGGCCCTCGATTTAGGCTGGATTTTAGATTTTGGCCCCTTCTCTGATTAAGTTCGACACCTCTATTTTAAAGCAATTTATCAAAATTGGAGGCCCCTGCAGAGGGCGACCTCAGGCTGCCCCAGCGAGAGCAGCTGTTCACATCTACCCCGGCCGTGGCTCCGGTGCAGTGACTCTGGAGGCGCTGACCACAGAGCGGCATTTGTGCAGCTGGCGGCTCTGGCCCTCCTGCCCTCCTGCCCTGCCCCCATCTGCACCATAGCCGCTGGCCTGGGACCCAGGGGGCACGGGGGGCGGGAGTGTGAGTGGCTTCTTTGTCTTCCACGTCAGACCAGAATGACCCCGATCCGGGCGGATCCTGGCGGCAGAAAGAAGAGCCTTTTATTTAAACAGAGGAGCAGGTCACGCTGCAGCTCCGGCCGGCCTGGGGAGCTTTGTCTCCAGAACCCCCACCCTGCCCTGACAGACCGCCTCAGAGCCAGCCTGGGGTCCTTGGAGGCGGCCGGCTGCCTGTGCGGGACCCAGCGGCCGTGCTGCTGCCGAGGACCCCTCCTGGAGGTGCCAGGGTGCCCTGAGCGATGCCCGTCCTGGTGACGGCTTTAGAATCAAAAGCCAAATCGTGGCCAAAATCGGTGTGGCTCAGTGGATAGAGTGTCGGCCTGCAGACTGAAGGGTCCCAGGTTCCATTCTGGTCAAGGGCATGTACCTTGGTTGCGGGCACATCCCCAGTGGGGGGTATGCAGGAGGCAGCTGGTCGATGTTTATCTCTCATCAACGTTTCTAGCTCTCTATACCTCCTTCCCTTCTTCTCTGTAAAAAATCAATGAAATATATTTAAAAAAAAAAAAAAAAAAAAAGCCAAATCGTGGCAAACGTGAGATTTCCTTGTCACCCGCGTTCCTGGTTGTAAACTACATGCAATCTGTCCGAGAGATGTCCACATCGGCCACGCCTGAGTCACGTTCGGGATTCTGCCGCAGTTGACGAATTCTCAGGGAGACAGATAAAACCCATTTGTATCCCAGCCGTGTGTGTTCCCTTCCGTGTGTGTCTGTCGTGTACACGCAGGATGTGCCTGAGGCCCAGGGCGTGTTTTAACACACGACCCGGATCGCGTGAGCTTGCACCCACACACGGCGGCTGGTGAGAGCTGTATATTCTAGAGATCGGATGTCAGCATTCTTCTTCCTGGGATAAATGAAGGGACCCTGTGGGTGTGAGTTGTGGCTGGTTGCTAAGAATAGCTCATCAGGTTGCTATAGCAACAGTGTTGCTGGGACTTGAAAGTTCCCAGCAATTGGCTGAATTCCGGAGGAAAGGCCCGTTTCTCTCGGTGGCATTCGGAGTGACCCCACACTCCGGAGGGAGCGGGACCCCACGCCCACACTCCGGTCACCACTGGCTCAGCGTGTGTGATCCAGGGTCCCGGCGGAGCTCAGCGGACACACTTAGTTCAAGGTCGGCCCGTCGGCCTCGGCCCACTCCAAAGGAAAGGGGTAGCTCATGTTTCTTTCAAACATCAGGATCCTCGAGGACTCAGGAAAATTAACCGGTGTTTACATCTCTCTTCTCCGAAATGAACACTGTGTTTTCTAATTGTACTTACTAATTATTCTTAGTGCGGAGTTCTTATCTACAACGCAGGCAGTTTGCCTGGCCAGTTGCTCAGTATTAGAGCCCCGCCCGGGGCTAAAGGGTCCTGGGTTCGACTCCATGCACGAGAGCCACCGAGAGCATGTGTCACTGCAGGCCTGGTCAGGGCTCCTTTGGGAGGCGACCAAGTGATGTGTGTTTCTCACATCAATGTTTTTCTCTCTGTCTCTCCCCCTCCCTTCCACTCCCTCTAGTAAGAAAAAAAAAAAAAAAATCAAAGGAAAAAATATCCTCAGGTGAGGATAAACAAATAATAAGTAAATGAATAAAATACAATGCAAACAGTTTAGTTTACAAGCATGTCATACCCAAAGGCTACCACGGGTCAAATAAACAGGTGTAAGTGTGTGTGGCCAAAAAAACAAGAGCTTCAATTTTCATTGAAACAGGTTTATTTCATAGAGACATGCTGAATACAAAGGGCTGAAATAAATGTTAAAATAATATAACATTTAATAAAAATTAATAGTTTTTCTCGAACATTAACTGAGCAGGGGGAGGTGGAGAACCCCTGAGGGGCGATCGGGGCAGGTAGCTGCCGTTCTCGCCCTCTGACAGCAGGACCATGGCACATGGGAGCAGAGGGTTTTCAGCAGCCCCAGCTCACCAGCTCCACCATCCCGCTGTGATGATACCTGCCATGTTCCATGCTCTGCTGCCGGCTGCAGACGCCCGCCATGTTCCACGTGTGCCCCCTGGTGGTCAGCACACATCATAGAAACCAGTTGTTCAGTTGTTCGGTTGCTCTGTCATTCATCTATTTGCATATTAGGGTTTTATATATATAGATTATCCTATATAACAAAAGCCTAATATGCTAAGTGTCCAGTTGTCTGGTTGCCCGTTCAACCAATCAAAGTGTAATATGGTAATGACTTGCTAAGACTGCTCAACCACTCGCTATGATGTGCACTGGCCACCAGGGGGCTGGTTGCCAGTCACTAAGATGTGCTCTAACCATCAGGGGCAGACGCTCTGATCAGTAGGTGAGCTTGCTGCTGGGGTATGGCTGATTGGGACTGAGCAAGATGGGCTGGACACGGCTTGGAGCCCTCCTGTGGTCCCTCCTCGGCTGGCCAACCGCCATGTCACTCCCCAGCCCGATGGTGCGCCAGTGGGGTCCCTTGGGCTGGCCTGTGCTCTCTTGCAATCTGGGACCCCTTCAGGGATGTTGGAGAGCTGGTTTTGGCCGGATACCGCAGGCCAGGTCGAGGGACCCCACTGGTGCACAAATTTGTGCACCGGGCCTCCAGTGTATAACAGGATATTGTAAAAATTAAGTTACGGAATTTTTATTAAATCTTTCTAACATACTGTTATGTTGGCTGGGTCACAAAAATATCCGTTGTGGGCCGCATGTTGCCCGTGGGAAGCGATGTTTACTAGATCACAGCCAGAGGCCGAGAGACGCCTGGTCCCCTCCTGCTCCTCCCCGGCGGGCGCCTGCCACCCGGGAGGGGTCCTGCGGGCGCTGGCCCTGGGCAGGCGCACTTCCCGGCAAGGGCCCGAGCGGCCTTCCCGGGCTCAGACTGCCCCGCCCCGCCCTGCCCCGTCCGGGAGCGGGCCAGGCCTGCAGCCCTGGCTGCCTGTGGCCTTGAGGGCGTGTGTCGTCCAGGCAGAGCTGACCTTGAAGGAGAAAAGCACCAACTGGAGCGGTGCCTGTGCGGCCTCCTCTGGGGCGGCCCCTGACCCCTTCCCCGGAGGGTGTCCCGGTGGCTTGTCTGGGAGCAGCCTATTTATGGCCGTGACGGGTCCCGTGTCCCTGGGGAACTCGCCGCCTCCCCCGCTCCTGCCTCTTCCCCACGGAGCAGGCCGCCGCGTGGAGAGTTCGCGCCTGCGGAGCAGCACAGGAGCGTGTGTCACTGCAGGCTCCTTTCCGTGGGGAAGGGCGATTTCTCCTAACCAACCTGAGTGTGTGGGAAGGCAAGGATGCAGGAGGGAGCTTGGCGGAGTCTGTCCATAGCTCTAGGGGTTCTCATGTTTAAGCACACCTCAGATGTGGGGGAGACAGAAAGTGGGGTGAGTCTGTCCAGAAACGGGAAAGAACAGAGTGTTCAGAACCCAGCTGCCAGCCTCGTGATTTCTATGTCACCGACTCCTCAGCCTCCTCAGCCCCCGAGGCTCTCCTGGGCCTGGTCACCCCTCCCGGCCCCTCCCTCGCTGCCTGGAGGTGGTGAGCCCCTCTCCTCACAGGCCCCCACAGGCCAGCTGCTCGGAGACACTGTGTGAGCATCTCAACAAGGCGCCCCACCGTCTCTGTGGCCCAGGGCCCCATCCTCTCGGTGAAGGTGACCTGTTTCCTCCCATGACCACGTGAGCTCTGAGAGAAGGGGCCCTGGCACCTAGGGGTGCTGAACAGGTAGTTGGGGGAAAGTCAATAAAGTCCTTTCATGGGAAGACAGTTTGAAAGCCATCAGTGAGGCTGACAGACAGTCCCTTCCCAAGGGAACTTTTAAGTATCTATCTCATTGGCCGGCGTGGCTCCGGGGGTGAACATCGGCCTGGGAACCAGGATGTCACGGTTTGATTTGAGGTCAGGGTTGTAGGCTTGATCCCCAGTGTGGGGTGTGCAGGAGGCAGCTGATCCATGATTCTCTCTCATCATTGATGTTTCTCTCTCCCTCCCTCTCTGAAATCCATAACAATATATAAAAAATGTATTTGTTTTGTGTAAAGAGCAGACTTCGATTTAAACCTCTTCACCTAAATTTTAGCGGAGAACATTTGTTCACATCAGGTTTAGAGACCAGGAAATGAGAATAGAAACAGCATAAAAGGTAAATGTAAAGGAATTCTTTAATTTGTTAACAGAACGCAATCGTGTGTTTAAGAGGTCTCCTGAGCCGTGAGGCAGAGGGACATGGGCAGGCTATGCTCATGAATGGGTTTTAGTGAAAAATGACAGGTGTGCCCCCTCCATTCTCTGGCACACAGGGCACAGCCTGAGGGGCAGCCACAGGGCCCCATGCCCTTTCCCACTGAAATGTTTTGTCTGTCAATGTGCCAAATAAAGAAAACAGTTTTAAAAGGACACAGAAAGCCCAGCCAGTGTTGCTCAGTGGCTGAGCATCGACCTATGAACCAGGAGGTCACAGTTAGATTCCTAGTCAGGGCACAGGCCTGG